ACAGACGCAGCACCTGGTCATCGCACGCCACGCAGAGCAAATTACTGTCGCGATGCAGCTCCATCTGACTGATCGGAGAGCCAACGTCCATCTCAAAGCGCAGCCGGTGCTTCTTGAAGCCCCAGAACTTGAGCTTGCCGTCGATACCCGCTGACACCAGCGTCTCGTTTCAGCGCGTCAACAGCCACTGCACTGACCGGTCCATCGTGAGCATCCCGCAGCAGTCTTTATCAGCCCTCATCGTTCTGCAGAGCTGACAGATCCGAGCCCAGGCAGTATCAGTGAGCGAATGATCTTCGCCTTCGGTGTCGCTGCTACAGGGTACGAGCCACGCTTCTCACCAGACTGCATGTTGTATCGGAAGACTGAACCACCCAGACCTCCCACTAACGCGTAGTTGCCACAGGAGCTGATAGCGACACTTGTAGCTTGTGTCTTCTTACGACGTAAGTCCTCCACGCTACCCGATGGGACGCGGTTGCTCGGGTCGAACTGACGTAGCACCTTCTTGCCAATAGCTCGGTGTTCAAAGCGCCACACATACGCCGCGATCTCGTTCTCGTGGCACGTCACCACGTTCGCCCAGTCGCGAGCACGCGTCTCCATCGCCGCGAACTGCACAATGGGCGGCAGCTTCAGGTCCTCCAACCGCACATTCAAACTGCGAGCTTTCTTGAGTACTGGACCTTGGGAAAGCTCTCTGCTCTGCTGTTCCCGAGCCGTGTGGAACACACGGAAGGCGCGATCCTGACCGGCCGACAGGATCTGACAGCACGTGCCGTCCGCACCGTCCGCCATCGTAGCGAGAGTATTATTGCCATAGTAACGAATACGCGTCGGCGGGGCTCGGTGACCCTCACGAGACTTGAGCAGGCGAGCCGTGCCGCCGTTCAGATGGTCGAAAATCCACATCTTGATGGAGTTATCTGTACCCGAAGACAGCAACAACGGCTCGTTCGCCAAGAACTGCAGCGAGACTACCGCACCATCGTGAGCACCTGGGATCACCGACTCGAGACGTTTAGTCTGCAGGTTCCACACTGCAATGTCACCGGATCGCGACCCCGACACCACCAAGGGAGTCGTCGAAGCGCCTGCATCCGTACGGAACGACATGGCTGTGATCCCGCTCTTTTGGTCCTGCTTAAAGTCCAGCACCTGTTGGTCTAGCTGCAAGTGGTGCACCATGAGTCTTCCATCGGCCAGTCCGATACTCACGACGTCCACTGCGGGACTCTGTTCCATTGCGTTGACAGCGCTCCCCCATCCTTTGAACTCGTAAATGCACTTTATCTTGCGGATATTCCACAACTGCAGTGCTCCTTGCTCCGACCCCACCAGAATCTTGTTCAGATACGTGTCCGGGTGCAGCATCACGGTCGGTGTGAAGCCTGTAGGGAAGTTTAGCGTGTCTACAAGTTCCATGGTATCGAGGTCCCAGATTTTGATTTTTTGCTCGTCGTCGAGGGCGAAGAGGACGTTGCCTACGGTCATCATCTGCTTGATGGTTCCCTTGTGGCCTAGCAGCGTCTTGACGCGTTGCACGCGCTTCCACACGATGATTTGACGTCCACAAGCTGTAAAAGTCAAGTGCTTTTTGGGTTGCACGGCCAGCGCTGCGATGCGCTTGGGTAACTGTGGCGACACCAGCACGGGTGTGAGCTTATCGCAGTTGTACACGACGAAAGACTTGCCAAGTGACGCTGTTGCGAAGCTGGCCTTGCCCATACCGTACCACAAAATTGGCACATCGTCGGCAACAACACCGATAGCGCGGAAGGCCTGGAGCACGCGACTGTTCTGAGCTCGGGTCAATTGATCAGCGGACATGTCTTCAGTTGCAACTTTTGAGGCTTGTAGACGGCGTTGGAGTACGCAATTAGCAGTATTAGGTAGAAGAGAGTCCGCACTTTATGATGAGAGCTGCTTGCTGAGAGATGAGGTGGGTTCGCGTCGTGGGAAGCAGCAATACACAGAGCAGATGAAGCACTAAGAGTTGATGGCGAGCAGCTACGAAATGACTGGAAACTAGCATTTCGTATTTAACAGCAAAAACGTGTGGACCACTTTGACTGGACTATACTGCAATGGTCTCAAAATTTGAGTCAAATGGTATCACCAATTTTGAACGTGAATCACTAAACGTGGACAAACTGGTCTCTATGCTTGCGTTTAGTGGTGGCCGAGGGTTTCGACATGTAAGGTACCTACTCGGAGGTTTTAGCCTTCTTGGTGGGCGATCCAGATGCCGCAGCAGCAGCTGCGTCACCGGGAGCTTCGGCGTCTCCGTACGTCAGTGCACGCTTCTGACGGGTCTTGCCCAGCACCTTCCGGGCCAGTTCGTTGTTCCAGAAGCGCTCTGCCAGCTGCTTTCCCAGCTCTTCGCATTGAGTACGCGGGCCTGAGATCGTTTCTGCGATAATTGTAGTGAAGTGGACGTAAGTAAATACCACTCACAAAAGGCGACAAAGCACCCAAATGATCGTACCGTGAACGCTCTCCTTGCCGTCCCGAGACAACACCGTCGCGTTCAGGGTCAGTGTGTCTTCATCCAATGTAGCACTAACGCCCATAGCGATCTAAACAACGGGGAGGCCGATGTAATATTAACAAAGATAGAAACCTCCCGCCGGCCGGTTTTAAAAAGAAAAAGCGTGTCCTCCTCTCTGCAAGAGAAGAAAAAAAAACCTCCCCTTCCTTCCCTTGCCGTTTTGTGGGGAAAAAAAAATATTTTTTCCCCTGCCTTCCGATAGTTAGAAAAAAGGGGGGGGGGGGGGGGTAAATTTTTTTTTTTTTTTTTTCCCCCCCCAGT